TTTCTACTCTATGAAAACTGTATTGGAGTTTTTAGTCCTTTGCCATTTTAAAAGTATTTTTTTTCCCTAAATCTTCATATATATTGTCTTCGTTTATTGTGTTTTTGTACATGGTGTTTTCAAAAATGGTTCAGTCAATGCTTTTATATAGAAGATGAAATATCCTGTTTTGGTCTTGATGAAAAATGACTTTGGATGTGGTGTCTATTCTCACAGTTTTGTAATGATTCAGTTAACCCAGTGATGTAGGCTAATTGTGAATGTGGACAGTGATTAGTTAACTACAGATTTAGGGAAAATTCTCCGGAAAGACTTGTTAAATCAGTTGAAAGCCAGTTGGCTGGCTTTTGTGAAGGTTTGGTATACTCTAGGTCTAGTAAACTTTGAACATGCATCAGAATCACTTTATTAAAAAATAACAGTTGGCCGGGCGCGGTGGCTCAAGCCTGTAATCCCAGCACTTTGGGAGGCTGAGGCGGGTGGATCACGAGGTCAAGAGATCGAGACCATCCTGGTCAACATGGTGAAACCCCGTCTCTACTAAAAATACAAAAAATTAGCTGGGCATGGTGGTGCGTGCCTGTAATCCCAGCTACTCAGGAGGCTGAGGCAGGAGAATTGCCTGAACCCAGGAGGCGGAGGTTGCGGTGAGCCGAGATCACACCATTGCACTCCAGCCTGGGTAACATGAGTGAAACTCCGTCTCAAAAATAAATAAATAAATAAATAAATAAATAAATAACATTAGTCTTTCTCACCTCCATCCCATACCCAGCTCCTGAGTTTCTGATTCATTAGGCCTGGAGTGGGCCTCAGAATTTGCATTGCTAACAAGTTCCCAGATAGTATTAATGCTAAGCTGCTGGTCCAGGGAGAGCCACTGGCCTATTCTGTGGAGTAAAGTTACAACCTTTAATCAAACTCTTATAATTCCATCTCAGAGAGCATCAGGCCTTTTTCCTGATGTATAAATAATTAGGAAATCCTGTCTAGTGTGAGGTAGTGTTGTATATGGCCCTGTGGCATGATTAATATAGTTGTTCATGGGGTATCTACTTAAGTGCTAAGATGTTACTTTAACACTACCAAGTAGGTGAATACCATGAGGCTCTGAAGTTCTATTATTTTTAGACAAAGGCTCTGCGCTCCTTGCTCCTGCTAAAATGCGAAGAATAATATCTGCTTTTTCTGTCTTAGGCATTTGGGGGTTGTTTGAACATGGTCATGTTCGGTTTTTTAAATAAAAGCAAACTTACTTAGTGGTTGAGAAAGCAAGATAAATAGATAATAATAAATTAATAATAAGAGCAAAGAACTAGTGTTACTCTGAATAGCACTGACTAATAAGTACCCTAGAATCTTAACATTCAATATATTGACCTTATTGGCAGCAAAACAAACTTGTCTTTCTGATGAAAATATGTTCTTGGTGTTCTAAAAATTTGGAAATATATGGAACAAAATTTATCATAATCATGTTTCTAGTCATTTTGCTATATTTTCTTAGTCTATCTTATGAATATTTCTTTACAAGAAACATTTCTTTATATTTCATATAATGGTGCTAGCTGATACATGTAACAACACCACACTCTTCCATGAGTCAAGTTTGAGTTGGTAGGGTTTTTTAAGGATCTCAGCTTACCAAAACTTTCTAATTAGAGGTGCTTGTTTTTTATCAGGTCGCAAAAGTTGGCAAGAAGGATTTTGTGGTGACAGTAAGAAAAATATTCTGAAATAATTAGTTGGAATAAGAGAAGAAACAAAAGGAAAATAATTGTGTAGATATATAGCCTTTCAAGCTTATTCTGCCTTGCAAATTCAGACTTTTGGTTTGACTTAACCTGTCTGTTCTGTGATACATCAAGCCTTTATACCCTCATCCTTACTTTATGGTTTTCAGCAAATTCCATGTGTTTTCATCTTCACTAGAAGTCCTGGGAAGAGCCAAGAAAATATTGAAAATGTAATGAGGAAGTATTTATAGGTATTAAACTATTTTATAAAGCTATAGTAATTTAAGTAGTTTGGTAATTAAGAGTGGAATTGACAAATCAGTAGGTTCCAGAAGCAGATCCAATATGTAAAAATTGAATTTATAGTTAAGATGGCATTTCAGATCAGCAGAAAAAGAATGAATTATTCAAATAAGATGGTGTTGTAACAACTGGCTCACTCTTTGGGAGGCAATTAAGGTAGATTCTACCTCATCAAAGTTAAATTAAGATATAATAAAAAGCTGAAATGTTAAAAAAAGAAAAAAACATGAAGCTATACAAGCATTGAAAGAAAGTATATGTATGGTTGTATGCTGCTTGAAGTAACGAAGTATTTTCAGGAATGAGACTAATGCCATGAAAGAAGAAATTGATTCCATTACAGTATGATTTTATACCTTCTGTATGTTAATATTTTAGGTATTGTCAATTGTGCTGTCTATGGCTATCTCAATTTACTTCACATATTTCATCTTATTTGGGTAATTTCCAGTATTTTTCTGTTGTAAATAATGCTACAGTGAATACCTTTAATACATGAATATTTGGCCACATTTAGCAGCAGGTGTTTATTAACTTTTTTGAGGTCTCATTCTGTCACCCAGGCTGGAGTGCAGTGGCACAATCTCAGCTCACTGCAACCTCTGCCTCCTAGGTTCAAGCCGTCCTCCCACCTCAGCCTCCGTAGTAGCTGGGACTACAGGCATGCATCACATGCCCAACTAATTTTTGTATTTTTAGTAGAGACAGGGTTTCACCAAGTTGGGCAGGCTGGTGTCCAACTCCTGACCTCAAGGTGATCTGCCCACTTCGGCCTCCCACTGGCTGAGTGCTGGGATTTACAGGCATGAGCCACTGCGCCTGGCTGTCTAATAACATCTCAATGAATGTTGAACCTTGTGCTTTACACATTCTTGTCTCCTTGCCTTAAACTTGCCTAGTTGTTTTAAACTTTTGATTATTTAGACTTCTGATAGCCTTGATTAGTTTTTAGACTTCTTGATAGAGTTCTGATAGCTTTTGGGGTTCTCTATTCTGCCGTTTCGCTGACATCATTCCTAGTAGAACAGTCTGTTTTTAACCAGCTGGGAGTTGAGAATGTACATATCTGTATCCAGGAAGCCTTTCTCACTTAGGTTTTCACTAGGGAAGTAAACCCTAATGCCCTAAGGTATCCATTATTAATGTAACAAAATGACTTCTCTCACGTGTGTCTAAGGTGGTGCTAGTTATGTACCATTCTTTGGAGAATTAATAAAAGAATCACTCTCCTTGTTCTGTGCTTCATACATAATACCTGGATTGAGAAATGCTGCCAGTAGGTCAATTGTAGTTTGAGAAAGCTTATTTCTTATGAGATAGTCAGATGATATTTTATTGATTTTTTTTTTCAGGTTTAGAAATAACATTCTATAGTACGTACCTTTGTGAGTGGCATCTTCAGTGATTTACGCTGTTTGTTTTTGAGACTTCCTTGACAGGTAGTGATATAGTAGCATTTAATAAAGAGGAAACACTTGGATGTAGAGAGAGAACCATGTTAGTTCATGGTAGCAGCCCAGATCCAGGGTGATTGGGACCCACACTAGAATGCCAGGAATAAAATTAAGACATGGGATTTAAGTAGCATTTTGTGCTTCAATTATGCCGGACTTAAAAACATGATGACGTTTGGGTGGACAAGGTGGCTCACAGCTGTAATCCCAGGACTTTGGAGGGCCAAGGCAGAAGGATCACTTGAGGCCAGGAATTTGAGACGCCTGGGCAACACAGCAAGACCCCTACAAGCATTTTTAAAATGTAGCCAGACGTGGTGGCAGCACATGCCTGTAGTCCTAGCTATGTGGGAGACTGAGGCAGGAGGATCCTTTGAGCCCAGGAGTTTGAGGCTGTGTTGAGTTGTGATTCTGCCACTGCACTCCACTCCAGCCTAGGCAACAGAGGGAGACCTTTGTCTGTCTGTCTCTTCCTCTCTCTTTCTCTCTCGCTACATATATAGCTATATATATAATTTTAAAAAATTATGTATACAAAATATATCTATTTTATGTAAAATATATATTTTATATTGTGTGTAATATAAATATGTCAGTTTGAGATAATAAATTAATAAATTTGTTTCAGATAATAAATATTTCATTCCTTTCAGTTTATCGATTGTTTGCCTAAACTATATGGCTTGCCCCATGAGGTAGGCACACACATATATATATAATTATTTTATATATAAAAATATATTTTATATAATATATGTAAAATAATTACATATATAATTTAAAAATAAAAATATGCTTTTAATATTAAAGTGATATTTTAAAGACTGTTGAAGATGCAGGCTAGTTAGTAAGTGAGTCTGTATGTCTGGAGTTTTGGATTTAGAAGCCAGTTGAGCCATTTCCCCCATTATCTCAGAGGCTTGTTGATGAGTTTTTAGATTTGAGTGGCAAAGTTAGAGTAGTAATAAATAAGGTAGAATATTCTGGTTTGTAACTCAGCTCATGTCAAAAAGAGAGGAACTGGAAAGTGTGATTCCACCCTAGTGAGGAAGGCGAATAGGTAGAGTGTCAGGCAGGGCCTGATGGGACATGACCAGTTTGTCAGCATGCATGACTACAGGGGTGTGGAATACAATGACTGGCAGTTGCTGCTTGAGTTCCTCCTAGGAGCATCCTCACTGAACAGTGAAATTGATCTCATTGAAGAAATTACCTTTAGGCAGACCATCTTGGATTGAGTCTTAAGTTCTTTTTTCTGTTTGTTCTTTCCTCTTGTTTGACTTTCATATTGGATCTTCTCAACATTATGTTCCAAGCAGCCATACACTCTTAGATGTGTGTGTGTGTGTGTGTGTGTGTGTGTGTGTGTGTGTGTGTGTGTGTGTGGAGAGAGAGAGAGAGAGAAAAAAAAAAGAGATAAGGTCTCACTCTGTTGCCTAGGCTGGAGTGCAGTGGCACAAAGTCACCAATAAGCACTGTCTTAACACTGTCTTTTTCCTTTTTCAAGAGCTGGGGTGGAAAGGAGAATGGCTTTGGACTTGCAGAATGTTGCAGAGACTTGCACATGATGGTAAGTAACTCTTTGGGATATGAGTGTCTTTTAACAGAGCTGTGGCCTCTTTATGAACCTCACTTTACAACAACTATGTGGTATATGAATTAACCCCTTCATGTCAGATCTTTGGGGAACCTAAGATCAGTTCAGACATAGCTGACCCACGTCTATAGGAAACAGTCTAGCAGTGCTTGGGCTCTTGATGTGCTGGCAGTAGATTAAAAATCTGAGAGATAATGTGTGTTCATACCCAGTTCTTGAGTAGGTAGCTGTATTTGTTGAATTTGTTTTAATGTGATTTTTTAAATCACAGAAAGTATGTTTGCTTGCATTCTCACACTGGAACTGTTGTTTCAGAACTCTGGACAGTGTGGCGTTATTTAGGAATGGCTGCTTGGAGAGCAGTTCTACTATTAGGTTTATTGAGAACTTACAATGTTTTATGTTCTTTCCTTGTTTACCACTCTGCCTTTCACCTATGCTTAAGTTATGAGCTCAGGCCATTCTCCTTTTTGCTTTGATATGTTGCTGTGGAGCTACAAAACACAATCTGGTTTTCAATAATAATTTTGCATCTGGAAGCAACTGTATTTTCCACGTGGAATTTGTCTTGTCAGTTTGTCATGTTTAGCACAAATGACTGCAGTGAAATTTAGTGCATTTATTTTAGCACGCCTTTTTTTCCTGAAGAGAATTGGCTCTTTTTCTGGTCACAGAAAACTACAAATTACACCAAGTTACTTTCCCCCGTTAGCTGGTGTACATTTCTTTAGTGATTATTTTATGAAGAGATATTGGGTAATATAGTAGGTGAGTGTTGTCTGTTTAATAATCAAAGCTACATAATTCTTGAAGTATATTCAGATAAAGTTTGATATGTACTTTTAAAGCAAGTAATATATATACATATTTTAAAATTCAGAGTATAAAGAGGTATGAAGTGATTTTTCCAGCGGCAACCACTGCTAGTGGTATCTTTTAGTGAGATATTTTAGTGGGCACACTGCCGTTACCTTAATTTTGTTTGTCATGTTGCTTTTCTAGAGTTAAAGAGAATGTTTTGTCAGGGTCTAGTTTATATTGGCTTGGTGTCTACCTGTGCAGGAAAACATACCGTGAGAAGTGGTGTAGAATGGTACGGAAGGAAAGTGTTTGAAGAATTATGAAGATATGCCTATGAGGCATACTTTGAATAAAATGTTTCAGAAGGCTGATAGTACAAGGTTTTCATCAGAATGTTCTTTTCTATTCTTTAACTGGTTTCTGGACCCTGGTGTTTGTTCTCCATCCTTTTTTCGATTCTTTTTCATTACTGCTTGGCAGTATTGACCCTCTTTTCCCCCTTGGGAATAGCCACAGTCAAAATTGATCTCTTGAAAGAAAAGGCAACTGGAAATTATTAAGTATGAAATGCAGAAGGTTTGGGAGTTCTGGGCTCCATCCTCTTGATTGTGTTTGAACAAGTCCTATCCTGTCTGAGCTCTGCTCTAAGACAAGGAGTTAAAGGCACTGTAGGTACTGAATGTACTGTTCATTCTTCTGCCACAATAAGTTGAACAAGCTGCTGGGACTTTGAGGGAAGATGTGGGGGATGTTTATAATCAGTTGAATGAAACTCAGTGTCTGACTCTTTGATGTGCTTTATACACAGAAGTATCCACCCAGTGCAACTACACTACACTTTGAATTCTATGCAGATCCTGGGGCTGAGGTCAAAATCGAGAAAAGGGTGAGTTTGATTCAGATTTGTTCTGATAAAGTCTACAGTTTACTGTAACCGGGGTTGCCTCTTCTAGAACTCCTCAGTTAAATGAAGAAAATGGTTTTGAGCTACACTGCTGCCCTCCCAAACTAAACATACCTAGCAGCTCCTCAGGAGTGTTAATTACATGTCCAACTCCGATAGGGTTGGGTCTTAGGAGCTGCCAAAACATGGGACTTCATTATGAGGGACCGCTATGACCTATGTGCTTTTCCAACAGTCTCTGAGAATTACAACATGTGGTATAATAGTATGAATGGTGATGACTCAGGTTTCTCTGCTTAGGAAGCCTGCAAGAAGTCTTTATATATTATGGATAGGGTCCTGCTTAGATTAATTGCCTTGAAAGCAACTCTAATACATACTCAGAGAGAGACCATTTTCATGAATTCGGTCTTTGCTATGAATACTGAAGCTATGGAGATTAAGTCAGTGGAGGGTTAAAAAAGGACAAAGAAGTATATGAAATGTGCCTGGCTATGTGCATTATAGTTTGATACTACTGGTTTTAAAGAAGCTTTCCTAAGAATATTCTACATATAAGATAGATGTTTTGGAGGGCTCTCAAGTTACCTTGATTTTTAAGAGCATTCAGTTAGTCTTCAACCTAGGGTGACATCTTGGTTTTCAGACAGCTCTTGCAGCTCTGTGGCAGGGGAAGCTAGGTTGTACATCACTCCTTACAGCTCTCTTGTCTCTTTTAATTTTAGACAACTAGTAACACACTACATTATATTCACATAGAGCAACTTGACAAGGTATGAGGAATCTTTGATTCTTGGCTGGGTTCTTAATGTTTGGTTCGCTTTTTGTTCCTAACTATATATTTTTTTAATGTAGATTTCAGAAAGCCCTTCTGAAATCATGGAATCTCTTACCAAAATGTACAGCATTCCTAAGGATAAGCAGGTATGATGTAGCTTTAAAATATCCACAGGATATGGTTGTTATCTAAATAGATTAATGATATGTACTGGGGTGGGAGATTGCATAGCAGAAAGAATGTCAGCTTTGGAATCAGACCATGGCCAAATTGTTAGCTTCTCTGAGCCTTAGTTTCCTTGTCTTTCATGAAGTTAACCCTTAATAAATTCCTAGGTCCTTATGAGAGTTTGAGGAAAACATAAACTACCTCACTGTGAGCATCTACTAAGTGATGGTAGCTTTCTCAACACTTGGATACCAAAGGAGAAAATGTTTAATTTTGCTGTTTTTTGAGTTAGCCCTCAGAAAGAATATTCACCTTTTTCATTTATGTTTTTAAAATGTGGGTTTTATCTCTCTACAGATGCTGTTATTTACACACATACGGCTGGCCCATGGCTTTTCTAATCACAGGAAGCGATTACAAGCTGTTCAGGCCAGACTGCATGCAATATCTATATTAGGTAAGAGAAGAATACTATAATTAACAGGCCCTATTAGACAGTTTGGGCCTGATTTCCTTTGAACTTCATCTGTCTTTGTTGCTGTGTGGCCTGTTACAGTTACCTAGGTAGCAACTTAAATACTGCCACCCCTCCCAGTATTCACTGTGTGTATTCATTATCCTTGAGTTTCTTAATGTTGGACCAGAAAGAGGGTATGATGATGTTCATTTACATGTCAGTTGGGTTTATTCTTGGTATTAATCTCTTTTTTTTTTTTGTTAATGAGTATTCTTGTAGCTTTCTCTTACTGTCTCCCTACTCTTTCTCTTACCATTGTGTCTTCCTCCTCTCTCATCCTTTCTGGGGTATCATTTTGAAGTAAGTCAGAAAATATTGAGTAGTCAATACTGTGCATTTAATTTCTTTTACTGTGCACAGTAGATTGGAAAACACATGATTTTGGAATCAGTCCTGTACTCTGGCCCTGATTCTGTAGATTATTAGCCACATTTATCCTCTCAGCCTCAGCTGCTTTGTTTAATATTGAGAGACCTCACTGGAGAGGCTGATGTAAGGATTAAATGAAAACCTGGAAAGCAGTCTAGCACAGAACAAGTACATAGAAGGTATGAAATGGTAACCATTGCTATTATTATCAATGATTGTTATGACTTGTCTTCTCTTTTAAACTATGAGTCCTTGGCATGAAAATCTGGCTCTTTTATGTGTCAGAATTCATACCTAGCATGATTTCTGGCATGTTGGTGGGTGCTCAGGAAATATTTGTTGAAAACTAAATGAATATACCCAGATCCCATTAGTTTATGCTTCAGGGGACTGTGTCTGGTATGACCTCTATGTGGAATTCATTGAATGTGGATTACACACATTTTCAAGTTTTGCTACAGTGTCACATAAATTTCTGACTTACTCTACAATAGTCCATAAATTCTGTTCTTCACAACTTGTAAAAGTATTTACAGTAAAAGCAGAAGCATAGGAAGAGGCTAAAATGGAAATCTATATCTAAGGCATAGTGGAGTTATATCAAGTAATAATGTTATGAAAAATTAACTCAGAACTTTTCCTATTTCCATCCCGCAAAATTCTTTCTCAAGACTAATAATACCTTTAGTAGGGGAATCTGTCAATTCAGTGGCTGTTTAGAGCCTATCACTATATTTGATCTAGTCCTTCAGAATTTAATTTGGTGATTATTCTGCCCTCCATTGCTAGTTGGGAATGGAATTCTTCCCCAGAACCCATAGATACCAAAAAGTTTGTCATTGGGCAGTGGCTTGACCACTGCCTTCTTGCCTAAAGTGTTTGTTTCTCCTTTTGCAGTGTATTCCAATGCCTTGCAGGAATCAGCAAACAGTATCTTGTATAATGGCTTGATAGAGGAGTTGGTAGATGTCCTTCAGATAACGGATAAGCAGCTTATGGTAAGTATTTACAGGTTGAGTAACTCTTATCTGAAATGCTTGGGGCCAGAAGCATTTTGGATTTGAGATTGTTGTTGTTGTTGTTGTTGTTGTTGTTTTGAATATTTGCATATACGTAATAAGATATCTTGGGCATGGGACCCAACTTTAAGCATATACATAGTCTTAAGGCAGTTATATACAACATTTCAAATAATTTTGTGCATTTTAACTGTGACCTGTCACATGAAGTAAGGTGTGGAATTTTCCACTTTTGGCATGCAGGTATTCCCAAAGTTCTGTGACCCAAGCTCTAAGGTAATGGGGATATCAGTTACTTTGCAGGATTAAATAAGATATTTATTTAATATCTTTTTAATTAAAAGTAACTAAATTATTTAGTTAGTACGTGTATTCCCAAAAGTTTTGGATTTGGATTTCAGATTTTTGAATTAGGGATCCTGCATTAATGTTCTCTGTATATCAGGCTTATATTTGTTTGCCTTTTGGTTTTTCCTAGAGGATTAGAAAGAATTCCCTAGAGGAGACTTAAACTTGACCCTTTTACTTCTTCCTCTTTGGGTATTAAACTGCAAAACAAAAAATACTGGATTTTCATTGTTGTTCTCAACAGACTCCATCTCCTCAAGCAGTTACCGGTAGAATGACTTACATTTTAAAGTTTGGGATACTAGACACTGGAAGTTGGTTTAGTCATCTTATTATATTTGACACATTATGTGTTTACCTTTTAATCTAATAGGAGATTAAAGCAGCCTCTTTACGAACATTAACATCAATTGTCCACTTGGAGAGAACTCCCAAACTCAGCAGTATTATTGACTGTACTGGAACTGCCTCCTACCACGGATTTTTGCCAGTGCTTGTAAGGAACTGTATCCAGGCCATGATTGGTAAGTTTTGATGGTGATTATCTTAGGCAAGAAAAAACCCTTGCCCTCTGCCTTTGTCTTTTTAACATCCTGCCCGCTTAATATCAATTTTGAGCTTGTTTTTGTTCTCCCTCTCCCTACCTCCCTTGTAGATCCTTCCATGGATCCCTACCCTCACCAGTTTGCCA